TCTGCACTGCATCATTTCTTGATTAATTCATCATATGACTTTTACCTAACAATGATGGCGAGGAGTTTAAACCAAAACCTATTCTCTTAATAAGCTGCCGTATTGGATAGTTTCACACTTTGCTTTTACATCTGTTCTCACTGGGACTCTGCCCTTCTGTTTTTGTCCTATCACAATAATATCTAAGATGTAATTGTTCTTGAAAATGCATTATTAGTGTACCAATTTGTTGTGGCTACAAAATGTTTATTGAAATAAAAATGAATATTTAATCTGCCTCAGCTGCCAATTTTGCTGTTCATTGGCCCATCAGCATCTATGAAATGCAGTATTTCTAAATCTATGCTATTCATTGTTTCTGCAACATTATATATGTACCCATTCCCAGCTTAAAAGTCCTTATCCAGCCTTTATTTTCACAGCCTTTGTTTCAATAAATTATAGTTGGTCTCATATATATTTTGGACAAGAAATGAAATATAGCTTTTAATAGTCTTCCAGGTTTTATACTTATGTTTGGAAAAGTTTTATATTCATTGTGAAAAATAGAAATACAAGAAATTTGACTTCTCTACAACAAAAAAATGACCGGGATATTTAATTTCAAAATTTGAAATTTTTTATGTCATTTTCAACTGGCCTTGAGGGATTGGTTAATTCGGTAATTCAAAGAAATAAGTTATAATGAAATGCAGGAAAAACTATGTAAAATTTAATAGGCATGCAAGTTATGTGGTTTCCATATCAGATTTTTTTTATTAATTGTATAAGTACTTAATAAAAAGCAATAATAAAAATTTTTTCAATTAATATTTGCTTCATTTTTTTGCTTTTAATTAGAATATTTAAGTTTAAATTATATGCTATTTCTTAATTTGAATACATTTTTTTCATAGGAAATTAAATTATCAGTTTGCATATTATATTAATGATGTAACCCCCAGGTATAGCAAGGGTTTACTGTATTTATGTTATAATAATTAACATGAAAGCTCTTGCAATAAATTATAGTTATTGGCAGAACATTGATATGATATAGAAATAAAAATATATGTAAAATATAATTAAATGTTGTAAGGAATATTGAGGAAATAAGAAGAATTCAAAGTAAACTCGTATTTACTCTTGAAGATGCTTTCAAAGAATTTGGAATGAATCTATGTGGATAATGAAGAACTTATCATATTTATTTTATGCAGCATTTTTTTTCTCAAAACGTGTGAAATATTTACATAAAAAAGTAATATTAATGTTAAATTTATAGCTAACACTTTTTAATTAACAGTTGCACCATGGTATGCAGCTAAAATTGGTATCCATACTTAAAAATTAAATATATGCAATTTCATTTTGCATGCTTTATTAGGAACTATATAAACTTTTGCACTTATGTAATACTATGTGAACTTTTATGCTTGTGGTAAAACTCCATCTAAAATTATGCTAAAACAAAAATAGATATTTTAAATTCACAATTATCTGGTGCCTACAAAAAATATGGAAGGAGTAATCCAGATTTGATAAATGTTAGGTACAACCGTGTGTTAAATCAAGAAATATATTACCTCTGCATTATGATAATATTACACATATTATGATTTATTACAGTATTCAAATTTTCAAAAATTATTACATATATTATGATAATATTACAGTATTCAAAAGATTGCACGAATTCATCATTTAACTGAATTAACTATTGGTTGTATGTTCAAACTTCACTAAACCAACTATGCCTATGTCAGGTAAGAAAGCAACTTAATTCATATATTAGTCACATCTACCTTGAAGAAACACAACCCTGCAGAAGGAACATAGTTTTCAACTGCTAAGGCTTCAATACAAACTGATCTGAAAATTAAGAAGCATTCAAGCTGAGAATTCATATTGCCATAGAACTTCAATTATCTGAGGTAACTGGAACCTTAATCACCTTGGATAATTGAAAACTTAGTTAAAAATGAATAAATTTTAAATTATGCCAATTTTTCTTTTGACAAGTTTTTTTATTTGTTTAATTGTAATTCTAGAAGTAGAGAAATACTTCTATTAATATTTTGAAACATTAATTCATTATTAAATATAACTTATTTCCTTCAGTTAATAAATAATCCATATAAAATTTTATTTGAGGACAAAAAATATTCATGAGGAAACTGGAATAAATAAACTTCTTCAAAATTTACGTGTTGTGAAAAATCTGTGAAATTTCTTATATTCATTTTTATAAGGCCGTCTTTTAGAAAAAGTTTGTTACCTGTTTTTTTATAGACCTATTATTAGCAAATATTACACAATCATGGTAGTTTTTCAGTATTCATAGGAGAAACATCAAGATATTACCTGAAATATTAAAAAGTTTCACTGAAGGCTTCAACACCTGTTAGCGACCAAATGGTAAAATAGGCAAATATCAGTATTTCCACTCTGGTTCAAGCCCTGGTGAAATAAATGACTGTAGGAAGTTAACATAGTTTTCTGTATTTATAACATATATAAGAGCTAATTTCTCTTTAAAAGTCTTTCATAAACTTCCTTTACACTGGAAGTCCTTATGTGCTTTACCATAAGCAAACTAACCATAAACAAAAATCATAATTTCAAGCTGTGTGATTTCACATTTTTTAAAAATTTCATCAGCATCAGTGAAGTTTTTATTCTTCTCTAAATCTATTCTGCATATGATTTTTTTTCCTTCACTCAAAACCTGAAAATTTTCGTTTACTATTTCCTACATTTATGCATTCTAAAATGCTATCCTTTCATCTTTTGAAACATCTCTATGAATTTAATTGTTAGTTAATGTTACTTTCATTCTTCTCGCATATAAACCCAATTTTTTACTATAATGCACAGGAAAGCTGTCAAATGACCCATGCTGATATGAGAGGCCAAAACATCAGTTACAGATAAAATTCGTCAGTATTATGATTTTCACTGTCCTGTTTTGAATGGTACTATTTTTTTTTATTGATTGCCAGCTCAGTTGACAGAGACCTTGGTTTATAGAGCTCCTATTAATGGAGGTTCTACTGTATTTTAACTATGCAATATTTGTAAATTTGACATCTCTTAATATGTGGAACACACTTACCAAAATGTAAAAAACATGATATATTCAAGTAATTATAACACAGTTGGAATTTCTCCAGTGAAGGAATGCATATAAATGTGATCTTATTTCACCACCTTGTTTCAACAAACACTAACAAATGTAGCTCTATTACATCAGTGTTTGAACATTTTATGGGTTTAAAAACAGTACTTTTTATCCAGAAATTAAATTATGTGTTAAGATGCATGAACTGATGCATGACATGTGCATGCTTGTCTACTATTAATTTGCCATTATATATTATTTCCAAATGTTCAACCTTGTAATACAGTTGTAATTTTATTTATCGATTATTAGCCCTTTTATTTTATTGTATTTTAATAATTTATGATCATTATATTGTTTTAATCATGATAATTGTAAGACATTTGTATATTTTAAGTTACTGCAGTGTTATTTTGAAAAGGAAATTTCCTATTTTTTTTTAATATTAATCAAAACTTCAGAATTGGAATGGTTTAAATATTCACTAAATTTCTGGGATTTGGGGCTGAATAGTAAAGTGAAGGAATCAAATATTATTCAATTTATATAATTTTTCTTGTTACTGAAGTGTGTATGCATTCAAATTATATAAATTATCTTGTTATTAGAGTAAGTATGCATTAAAATTATTATTTTTTATAGAACTGATTTAAGTAAATTTAACAGCTTCTTTCTAAAAAAAAAGTGGTATTTTCTGATTATCCACACCCCCCTCCTGACTGATACTGATTGTAAGTTAAGATGCGAAAGACAACAGCTATTTTTAAAAATGGCCCTGCAGTATAAATTACATAGCAATTACAAACAGCAACCAGTTAACGAAATTTTAAAAAAAATCAGAGTCATAATGAAACATTTATCTTTTTGTGTGTGTGTGTGGTTGTTGTTATTTTTTCCATATACACAGCAATTTGTTTTAGCTTCAGAAAATAACAGAAACTTTGCATCATGGCACAATTTGGTACTGCACACATCATCACTCTTTCTGTGTTCATTGTGATCCGTTTTTGCTTAAAAAAAATTAGAGAATGGGACAAATTTTGATCAATAAATTTCATAATTTATGAAGTACAAATTCATGGAATGTGAGTTTTTGCATTCTCTACTGTTATACAAAATTTATATTATTGAATGCAGTGCAATGTTTTCTTTTTCACCATCCTGCAAACTCCACAGTCCCATTATGATTCCTTCCATGAAATAAAAATGCAGCCAATGCTACAAAAGCAAACAGGTACTGGTTGAAACAAGGGTGGTACTGGTGTATCTAGGTATGTATATTAGGTATGGTCGGGTTTTGCAAATGCTAAGTTTCCACCCAAGTAGAATTTCGAGGGAGAGCACCCTAGGGTGCAGTTTGAGTGTCTCCTACCACCAATGTCTCAACAGGATGTCAGCTCTGCATATATTTTGAGTGCCCTCCTGCTGCATGAGCACTATATGCTTATATATGTTTACAAATGTCCATGCTTTCTCTGGGATTCAAACCCGGGCCCTTTGGTACTGCGTTCAGTGCCACTACCTCTATCCCATCTGGATGGCTACAAGAACGAACACTAACAACTGTCATCAGTGCAACAAAAACAAATGCCCACCAGCAGCCAAGTAATTAAATCAATGAACACTGGTAGTTTGACTTTGGTTCCTTGCTGCATGTTCACACATACTTGCATTGTCACTTAATTGCATTTTGATGACATCATTGGTTGCCTGTTTTGGTGCATAGCACATTGTCTCATGATATCATGAATACTCTTCAGTGGGATGCAGATAATCAGAATGTACCAAAAATCTATCACATGATCTCTATAATATTTTAGTATTCAGTTATGTGTGTCTTTATGTGAAATGTGATAAAATTTAAAGTTTATTTAAATTTTAAAATTAGACTTCATTTCAGCCCTTTCATGTTCAGAAGAAAGAGACAAATTTACTTTCAAGACTCAGCCAACATAAGTGCTCTAAATTCCACAGAGTTGAACCAAACTGCTTACAATACATCTAGTGAAATAGAAGAGGATGCATATTTAGATGGGAACTTAGTGCAGTTTAAGCGATATGTAAATCACAATACATTTCTAGTTATCTCCAATCTAAAGCATTTTGCAGAGTATACAATAAAAGTAAGTTTTACTGTAATTTTCATATACATGAATATAAAATTTTATCTGTCGGTAAATTTAGTATATTTTAGGATGAATTATATTTAATTAAATTTATTCCTGAATACTGTAAAGAGGTTTTAAAATGCTCATTTTTATTACATATTCAATAATACATTTTATATCTATGTAATAATATGCCTTAATATTTTTGTCATCTTTTGCCTGATCTATATGATGTTATCAGTTTGTTTAATATTAATACTTTTACATATTTTACTTCCTTGTTCTATTAAGGAACCATTCAAATGAATTGCTCTGTATTGAAATTTGAAAATTAAAGTTAGGCTAGAAAAATATTATTCTATAAATAGAAACTGAATTCATTTTCTCTATAGTTATTAATTGGAAATGTATCTGTATGTTTTTTCTCTTTCTTTTTGAGATTTCTGTACTAGTCATCTCGAAGTAGTGTAGATTTTAATAAATGAATATGTGAAAGAATGATAATTTGGGAAATTGTAACCAATTTTGTGTTGTTTATTATGTTTTTCTTTTTTCTTTTTTTTTTTTTTTTTAAATTATGTACAGGGTGTCCCGTAAATGTTGTGACAAACTTCTGGGGGAGGTAGGGCACATCATAAGGATTAAGAATTGCATAGAAACCCGTGCCCAGAAACGTCACTGTACGCCATCAGGGATTGCCTCATTCGAGTGGTAGGCACCATACGAAGAGCATGGAACGCTATATGAATGTAACATTCCATGCTCTTAGAAAGCTACATTATACGAATGTAGAGCTTGCAGACATGCAGTTATTGTATGACATAGCTGAGGTTAATGAACGAACTGCTGCACGCATTTATCAAAAAATGTTTTCCCGACAAACATCAACCACACCACAGTTTGTTTGCACATTTGCATCAAAATTTATGCCACTACGGGTCATTAAGAAATGGCAGGACAAGTGAGTGCAGGTCACAATCAACTTGTTTGGCCTTTAGGAAAGAAAGTGTGTTGGATTTGGTGGAGAGTAATCCAAGGACCAGCATATGTGCCATTGCCTCTCAAATAAGAATGTCTTGTACCAGTGTCCAGAATGCCGAGTCCTTCCATGCCTTTTGTCTCCATAGGGTTCGGTTTGAACGTGTGCATTTCGCACAGTGGCTTCTGCAAGAAAGTGCCTGTGATGTTAATTTCCCAGCTCATGTTTTGTCCACTGATAATGCCACATTCAATAGGGATGGCATATTCAATCACCATAATCAGCATTTGTGGGCTCGAGAAAACCCCCACAGTGTGCGACACCAAGCGGCACAACAACGCTTCAAAGTTAATGTGTGGGTGCCTGCTTATTTTGGACTGGATTTTGTAGCCATTTGAACAGATCATTCTCGCATCGATGGATTGGGCATGGTGGACCAATTCTCTGGCCCCCACACTTACCAAATTTATCAAACCTTGATTTCTTTATGTTAGGGGCTATCAAAAGTGTCATGTATCAGAATCCTGTTGTGCCTGAAATGGATCTGGTGGCAAGATCCGCCTGCACAGCTACTGCAATCAAAGAAACTTCCGATGTGTTTGAACATGTCCGGCAATTAATGGTCTGTCGGTGTTAGGCATCTTTGGCATCTGATGGTGCAAGCTTCGAGCATTTGTTGTAACATTCAGGTTGTTGTACACCATTTGTATTCATGTCCGATAAGTGTTTCAAATTAATCACTCTCTTGTTTTCCTCTCCCATCTTCTACCTCTGCTACCACTTACCCCTGACATTTCCAGGCATGGATTTCCTATGCAATTCTTAATCCTTATGATGTGCCCTACCTCCCCCAGAAGTTTCTCGCAACATTTACAGGACACCCTGTATATAGCTATAATGTCATTTAGTAATGAATTTTCTGAGTGAAAATAGGAAATTATATAAGAGTTTGTTTTAGATAAGAGCTTGTCAAGACACCAGACCAAGGAAGACCATTGATAATTGTAGCACAAAAGCAATAACTAGTGTGCGTACACTTCATCTAGGTGAATATAACATACCTGTTTTTTCAGTTTTATAATTTACTTTTAGTTCTCTTTTACAGATGCTGTGCAGATTTAACACATTCGCTAAGCTGATATTATGTGTCCATTTAAACATGCATCTTCTCTGCATTTTTGCCCCTTTTCCCTGCCTATATCAACTATAAGATAACTTGGAACAAGATAAATAATAGGCACCCATTCTGCACATTTATGCAAAATTTTACACACGCAATGTATTATTTTTCCATTAGTCTTTTGCAGGTTGCTGAACAAGAATTTGAGTAGTCCATTCAGATTTCCCAAGATTAATAACATTTCTCAAGTGAATAAATTAGTAAAAAATGGTTTTGTGTTTTAAAAACTTAGTTACTGTTACCTATATTTTTGAGAAATAATTGATTCATTTCAGTAGCCAGGTGTATTACTTAATGCCTTCCTGTATGCTTCCTGCATGCATTTGCTATAGCAATACTTTATGATTTAGGTAAGACAATCAGTAAAGAGTTATCTTGTAGCTGGCAAGTGCAGTTTGCCACCTACAAGTATTCTCATAGATGGCAGTAAACATGTTAAGGACTGAAAATCTACTTAATCATTCATACTTAATGTACAGGTTATGAGATAACGCCTGTTCTATTTTTCTTCCAGTGTTTAAGAGTTTAAGAATATAAATGAAACGGAAAAAATGCAGATGAAAAAAATATGAATGATAAAGGCTGTAGGATTTTATAAAAGGAACAGTAGGGGAGACTCAATAGAAGCCCATAAAAGTAAAAATGAAATAATAAGGATAATTGTAGTGAGGCTCCAAATTTTGCCAAACAATGCAGTTGCAACGGCTCCAGAGCCGACCCTAAATATGTGTAAGTTTTACTGTTTAATTTCACTCTAAAGATATTTTATTATATATAATTTGCATTAAATGCAATTTCTAGCATTCCATATTTTTCTATTAATTATTATCTGAATATTTGTTTGTAAGTGCATAATTATTATTAAAAATTCATGTAATTGATTGCTCTCAAAACAGTAACTGTTGGCAACCCTTTGTAGGCAGTGCCCACTTGTAATGTGAATCTTGCAGGCCTGCTTCCACTGGCCATGCCCATAAATTTATCTATATTCACTAAATTCAGTTAATGTCCATGTATATATTTTCTGGTGTTGCTTAAAGAGCATGGATCATTTCCAGAAGTGAAATTGTCTTATTTGAGCACATTAAACATTGTTTTGTGAGTAGGGTTGGCTAAAATAATCCAGAAGAACTGAATTGAGGTCCTTTGTATGCATCATACTGCATATTTCAAATGTGAGTTGGGCTCATTCATGGTCTGTGAAGAATTATTGTTTATCATCTACTATTGCTGCTTAATGTATAATTTGATCATGCCTTATTAAAGTCGTCACTAGATGAGCCTTTGTGGTTTTAATGTATAATTTGTTGCACAAATTGGATAATTAATGTTGACAGTTCTGGTGGCAGTAGCCACTTTAATAAGAAAATGTCTATAATTCATTAAACATGCTTAAAACTTGAAACTCCTGTTCTTCATTTTCCTAATGTACTCTATCAAATAATAATATAGTATGAAATTTATCTTTTAGTGTGTTTTTATTTGATCAGTTTATTATGTGTTTCGTATTATAAACATATGCATTTTCTTAAAAGTATTGTTCAGCTAACATCATTTGTTATCTTAATATCTCTTTTCTAAGCTGAGGCTGATGACATAAAAGCTGTTTATGTTACAACTGACAATTCTACCTCTTATTCTGGTTTTGTACGATGGGAAGAGCCAAAAGATCCAAATGGAGTTATTGTAACATATACTCTTGAATATAGGCGCTTGAATGGAGAAAGTGTAAGCAATTCTCTTTTTTTTTTTTTTTTTTTTTTCATTTCTAAACTTTACTTCATTTTATTTTTGATGTTAATAAAGTAGTAATTTTTAAGAAATGCTTTAAAATGTTTTATGTATTTTTAGTTTTAATTTAGGTGTAAGATAAATTTTCTCAAATCTTGAGTCTATAAAATGGGAATAAAAGTCTTGAGTATTTTGAACTACTCAAATCCTTTGTAAAACAATAATAATGATAATAAACCATTTATTTAATCTTAAAATCTTTAATTAAAAGATTTTAAGATTAAATAAAAGGATTAATTAAAAGCAAGATGTTTTATGAAAAGCAAATTAAAAGTACAGTTTTTAAAAGTATATCTATTTTAGTAATGAGACAAAATTTAGTAAAATGAAGTTCATATTTAAAAATATTGAATATGAAATTCTTTTTTTACAGTATAATTCAATAGATACTTGAGAAAGAGTTCAATTTTGTTATATTTTTTCAGAATCTAGTTATATCCAAATTTGTTAAAGGGAGTAGGTTGTTTAAAAAGTTAACATACATGAGCATGAAATGTGTATGCTGGATTCTTTCCAAAATAATTAAAATGTGTTATTTCGAGCTACAGCAAGGTGATTTGGGGTCATCCAAGTAATATTAGAGTGATCCAAGTCCTGTTATAAATTTCTTTAGCAATTAAAAATTGAAATCTGCTTAGCTTTGAGTTGCCAATTTATATAACTTGCAAACTGTTAAGTCTTTTGAAGTAAGATTTTGCTATGCAATTGACCCCTTTTTTTTATTTGAAGGGCTGTCTTTTTTTTTTTTAATTTTATTTATTTCTTTAAAGTACCATGCTCTAATAATATCAAATGCTACCAGTGCTTAAAATTATATCTTTGAGAGAAAATAGCTATGAATCAATGGTGAAAAACAGTTCTGATAATTTCAAATGCTACAGTGCTTAAAATTATATCTTGAAGAAAGTAGTTATGAATCAGTGGTGAAAAACAATCTAATGGTGAAACAATGGTGAAAAACAGCTCTGATAATTTCTAATGCTACCAGTGCTTAAAATTAAAATAGCTATGAATCAGTGGTGAAAAACAATCTAATTATTCTCAAGTAGTATTTAAACATACTGTAATGTATAATTTAAAATATCAGAATAAACAAAAGGCAAAATATGGGAAACTTGAGCTTGCAGTTTTGAAGCTATAGTAGTTTTGATATTAGTTTTGAGTTTTACTGAATTTTAGCTTCAGGTACATTTTATTCCTGTATTTGTTTTTGAAGAAAACAAGCACTGAAGGTTCTAGTTCATATAGATATGTTTTGAAAAGGACTGAAAGAAAGATCCTAGGCTGGTATAAGTGTAAGCTTGGAATTGCTTAGAGCATAGGATCATACTTTTTTGTGTTTAGTAATAGGAACCTATTTGAGATCATATCCTGATGCATTACCCATTTTTTCTTTTCTATCTCAACTTCAACTGTGTTTATGCATTTTTCACAATAAAAAAGAACAAACAGTTTGCATATGCATTTGTAGCAATAAGAGCAACAAAAACCTGGCACATAAGGAGAGAAACTTGTTTAATACCATGAAAGAAGAATCTAGAAACCTATAAAACTTGCACAATTTTTTATCATTAGTTCAACTTTCTTGTAGTTTGTATAGATGCCATATGATCAGAGAGATAGACTAGTGCTTTAAAATTCTAAAATTTCACAACTAAGAGCTATTTAAGATGACATACTAAACCCATACTTTAAAATCGTTTTAGTCTCCTTGATACAATTACTAAACAACATCTTGGTGTTTTGGTACTCATAGGTGATATATGTACCACTGTTTGGTAAATACTGATTTTATTATTAAACTGTTTCAAGTACATAATTTAATATATAGTCATGTTATTTTTACTGTGATATAATAAATCATTTAACTCTTTTAGAAGAAGCCTAATCGCATTTGTGTCACTCGAACAAATTACCTGGAACGTAATGGTTATTTTCTGCCAGAGCTTGTTCCAGGAAATTACTCCCTGAGGGTCAGAGCAACATCCTTAGCTGGACATGGAAACTGGTCTGCTTACACTTACTTCTTCATTTCTAAGGTTACTGGTATGTATTTTTGTATCCAAGTATTGAATATAGAAATGTCAATTCACATGAATATTTATTTTGTTAATATAGTTCTGCATGAGAAAAAATCATATTTTTGCTCTTTTAAAAATGAAGTAAAAAAAATGTTTCTGTGAACCTCTACTTTACAAATTATGCATTTTTGCAATCATCTTTTCAATCTCAAAATGTCTGTGCATCCTTTTTAATGCTATTCCTATTTATGGATGTTTGATTTTCCATTTTTTACCCCTTGTTCATAAAAACATAAAATTAGGATTATTCTTTTTTTTAGCATTAGTGGATGCAGAATAACTTAATTCCTTTCAAAAAATCTGTACTAGTTTTAGTTATTGAAGATAAAATTTTAAGTATTGCTTAATTTTGATACTGAAATTTAAAATAAAAGGAGTCATATTTGCATAAAATATTATTTTGAAAATAACTGGTAAACTAAAACATTATACATACAGATTTTATCCTTCACTATTTGTTGTTAGTAGGATATTTAATAATGATAATAATAAAGATCACAATATTATAATAAGTAGGAAGACAGAATGATTTAAAGTATTGTAAACCAGTTGCATGTTTTTATAATGAGCTTATTGCATAAATATATTTTACAAGACAGATAAGTCATTAATTAATTACTATATTATTTAATGAGACAGAATGCAGAACTGAGATGAATAATAGATTTTGAATGCATTAAATGTGAATGAGTGCATTGATAATTAAAAAAAAAGAGTGAAAAGCATCACAATGATCTTTTTAAATATTCATCAATTTTCTAAGATTTTTAAAGACAAATTAAAATTATTTTTTATTTATTAACTTAAAAATATGTAATAATGAGCACATTGATTTAAATATATCAAATGATCAAGCAAAATGTAGGTTGCATGTTGCAGTTTCTGCATGCTTATAAATATTAAATAATGTACACTGCAAAAAAAAAAGTTCGATATCTCCCATGCTACTGGGTCAATTGATGAAATTCGAATTACGTTTTCCACGTCGCGAAAGTGCGACTTAGGATATGTATTAGACTTAGCTTTATTCTAACATAGGTATTTTGACATAAAATTGGACTTTGTCTGAAATAACGTACTGTTTTTTTTTTTTTTCCATATTTCGATTCTACAACTCAAATTATGCCTAGATATTAAATTTTGTAATTTTTCGTGAGAAATTTATGGAGCAATTTAAAAGTTTATGTTGTTGAACATTTTTCAGTTTGTGCCAAGAACAATTTACTTGGCCACCTTCTTAATTTATAGCAACCTCTTTCCTTTCCTTTTTTTTTCATTGTCCACAAGCGGAAAAAATGTCATCGTTCATACTTCAAATAGTTTTAACAAAGCGCGTAAACCACGTTTTCGTTATTATCGCTCATATTAAATATGCCAAATTTCAAAACGCACCAAAATGTAAATTCACGTATATCTTAGGAAACTCTGAATATAAAACTAATTTTTGCTGGTATGCTTTAGAAATGCATCTAATTTAAGATGATGGCAAAACTTTTATAGGTTATATTCCAAAAATGTTTTTGAAAATTTATTTAAAAATACAAATTTTTAAAATAAATCATAAAAAAAAAGCCAAATTTTATTTGGAATGGACATAAATTTTGAAATATGAAAGAAAGAATCAAATAAGTTTAATAAAAAAGAGATATTAATAAATGTATATCGAATTCAATTAACATTAAGGAGCTAAAATTTTGAGAGCTAATTGTTTAAAAACTATTCATGCAATTCATTGCAATTTGAGTTTACACACCTTGTCATTTCAGGAAAAGTTCGATTTTGTGTCAAAATGCCTATATTAGAACAATGCTAAGTATAAATCTAATATATATCCTAAGTCGCGCTTTCGAGACATAAAAAACACAAGCTGAATTTTGTCAATCGGCCCAGTAGAATGGGAGCTATAGAACTGTTCCCCGCTTTTTTTGTGCAGTGTACATCCTAGAATATAATATGAAGAAATGCTTTTATTAATTATAAGAACAGTGCAATAAAATTATACCTGAAATTAATTAGTTTGATGCATCATAAATTAAATGCTATAAAAATAAAGTAGATTTAAATTATTAAGTGCATGTAATTCTTTTAAATCAGTTTGTTGAACAGTCAAAAATTAATTGAATTTGAATTATAAACTAAAAATCTTTTTTTTTATTTTATTTTATTTTATTGAAAGCAGTATTGTAATAATTTTAAGAGCTGCTTATTTCCAAGACACCATGAAAGGTAAATTAAATATTTAATTATTTTGTGCTGTGGCAATTTTCTCAAGTTGTGCGTTTGACAAACACATGATTGGTAGTGCAATGTAATTATCTCGACATTTTTGCAAAGTCTTCTCTTAAAGATATTTTTTCTCTTAAAGATTCTGTGGCATGCTTATTTTAAAGCTAGGCATAATTTTATTTAGTTGCAAAAAATTTTTAATTCAGATGCATTGCAAGGTAATTAGGATGTATATATGGTTAAATATGTATTATTTTTATTTTCTGTGTGTGTAAAAGTAGAGGAATCATGAATCAAAATAAAATTATAATAAATTGCAAATTCTGACTGAAGTTCTGAGTTTTAACTTTATCATCGTAATGTTTGTGTGCATGCTGAAAGGAATATTTAGCCACTAGTTTCTAGAAAACTAGGAAATAGTTTTCTAGAAATGTATGGTATGTAGCACCATATAGTCATGAATCTTTAACTTATGATTGAAATCAGTAGATATTTAGCTGAAATCAATAGACCGACTGAAATTTCATTATTTATGTCATTAATGTGAAAATTATATATAGAGAGAGAGATAATGTGTGTGTATTTGTATTATTTAGAGCTACATAATTTAAAATCTTAAATTTACTGTATTTACATGAATAAACTATGATTTTATTGCTTTTCTTTCTTTTTGAGGCACATGTTTACTAACTGTGTTGTAAATGTACAGTGGAATCTTGAGATACAGTTTAATTCATTCCAGAGCTCATATAGCGAATTTCTCGTATCTAGAAACAAACTTCCCCATTGAAAATAATGGAAATCTTATTAATCTATTCCACTCTGCCAAAAATATCAACATAAAAATCCGCTTTTCTAATAAGTAAGATTGGTAAATGATATAACCTTAATTTACCTTTTATGATAACTTCCGACACCAACCTTTTAACTGCTTGCTGTTAATCCACTCCAACAACAGCTTCCCAACATCTTCTAGGAGTTTTGGATGGTGCTTGGAAGTAACGGTAACTCCTTTGGCTACATCAAGTTTCTTAATTTCTTCCTGCTTCTTCAAAATAGTTCAAATCGTCCATGTTGAAATGCCGTAAGTCTTCACCAAGTCCGTCACTCTTACACCACGCTTGTTTATTTATGATTTCTTTCTTAATTTCAATGGCCATGACTTTCTTATTTTTCTTTGCAGCACTATCTGAGACAACAGTCTTCTTGGGAAGCTTCGTAAAATAATTATTTGTATGTTAAATATAATAAACAATTGACGCACAAACACGTAGATCAAAGAACACTGAGTGATTTAACAAGGGGATTCCCTGAGTCGAACTGGATCAGGAAATGATACCATGCATACTAACAGCCTGGCTCATTGCTCGTTACTTGACTCAATGCTCATAATTTAGAGACAAATACTTTCCTCATATCTTTTAGCTCATATTTTCCTCATATAGAGAGGTTTCGTATCTTGAGGTTCCACTGTAGTTAACTTTCTATGTTATTTTAACAGTACTCGCCTGAGGTAAATAAGTAGAGTCATATAAAGGTTAGATTATATATTTAGTTCTCAGATTCTAGTTGTTATTGTTAATTTCCTAAGTTGCAAATTTGAGAAATACATGGTTATTTGGTGTGTAATTTTTTTTTTTTTGGTAATGACTATTTTAATTAAAATATTGATTTTATGTATTTTAGATGATTTCACATTGGAAGTTGTCATTGTTCTTGCTGTTGTGATATTGGTTTCAGTGATGTTTGGAACGTTGTATGGTGTATATAAATGGAAGTAGGTACTTGTCTGTTACAATTCCTCTTTTATAGCAAAACTGTAGTATTCCATGTACACCAAGTAAATGAAAAATTGGGACAGTTGTATATCTCCCTTTCAGTAAATATTCAAAATTCAACTTGCGTTTTTCATGCCTTGAAAATGCAGCTTAAGATATATATTAGATTGCAAAATCAAATATTTTCTGAAATGACATGTTTTTCCCATATTTCGATTATATGATTTTAATTATGCTTAAATACAAAATTTTGTGAATTTTGGTGAAAAATTCAAGCACAGACACAGACACACACTTGGCACAGTTTTTTATTTTGTGCCAAGAATAATTGATATGGCGAACTTCTCAATTTATGGCAACTTATTCCACATTCCCTTTTATTTTAGATGCGTGGAAAGCATCTAATTTCTTGGGAGTATTTTTTTAATAGTATATCTTTTAAGCACAGTTGTTGTGTTTAGATGTTTTTCTTTTTAGAATTTCATTTGAATTGTTTGAATTGCATGGTTGAATTATATTTCTTCAAATAATTATTTTAAAATTTTCTATTTATTCATTCACGCTGTACACTTTAAGTATATTTATTTATACAAATGCTTTCAGAATATTTTCTTTTAAGCTTAACTGCATTTTTTCTAAAGAATACTTTGTGACACAGTATCTTCTACCATGTGTTTGAAAACTGCATGATTAAAACAGGACATACAATAAAGAACAGAGTCTTATATTTACCTATTAAGGATTTAGTTTTAGTTTATGAACAGACAAAACTGCTTTTATTCATTTTATTCAAGTATTGGTATTTATCAACGATTTCTATGCTTCATATGTTTAATTTACAAAGCTCATTTTTTAAAAAAAGTCTCATTTTAAATAGATGTGTGCATATTTTTTTAGTTTGTGAAAGGAAGGGGATGATCGTCTAATAATAGTAAAAAGTGTGCATATGGAAGAAAGACTGAGAACCACTGATTTAGGAGAAGATGCATATATTGTTTACACAGTTTTTCATTGCTTTACACAGTGCTTTATCATCATGCCATTGCATTTTATCATCTTACTTCAAGTTTGTTAAAGTATTATCTAATTTTAAAATAAGTTAAAATATTTCATTCTTTTTAATCACAAGAATCAAATAGTATAACATAAAAAGCTAAATTTTGTGCAAAATATTATTTTTTAATATGTTATTTATTTTCTTGAGAAATTCTCCAGATATATATGCAGCCATCCTGATGTTTTTACTCTGTATAATACAAACATAAACAATTTTGATACATATTCATTTTGTAACATTGTTATGAGCAGAGGTATCATCTTCTGTTTCATCACTATTTGCTCAGCATAAAATAATGAAGCAATTTTGACCATGATACTGAAGGTCTTCAGAGGCCAGGCATTTTGAAGATAGGGGATGGAAAAAAAAGATTCGTTTCATCAACAATGGAGCATTTTTAGTTGACAATTTTGATTTAGTATATGGATAATATACTTCTTTGGATAAATTATTGAATATTCAACAAATTTGTCTGAATTATTTTTAGATTCCTGTTTATAATATGATATAGCATTCAGCGATATAATTTAAATTTGTGCAGTGAAAAAATAGTTGTTTTTCGTGTTCACCTGTATTAATTTCTTATACATTTTTGATGAACATAGGCTTATTCATTGTATTAATACATTTCACTGAATGAAGAATTTAAGCAAAATATGATTTGAATATCCAGATGTTTCACCTCAAACAAGCAACTTCAAAACAAATTTTCCACTAACTGTTGGTCTTTCTAATTTCCTTCTTTCAGAAATATTTGTTTTCAATATTAACACAAGAATATTAGATTTTTTTCAACAGTTACATTTTCACAAATTTTTGTATTCTGGTTTTTATTTCAGTCTTTTAGGAAGATTGCTTTTCATTTTCTAGATATTTTAGTTGCTAATTAAATTTTAAGTAAAACTCGGTGTACAAATTGTTGAGTTAAAAACCTGTTTGCCAAATGATACAGGCATCTCCCAAACCCACTGAAAAAAATATTTCCCAAACTTTTCTGCTGAACAAAATCCATCTTTATTGTATATCAGCTAGTGATCCAATCTTAAAATTAAGTACAAATAATCTAAACCATACATTGTCGAGATTTTGTAAGATTAATTATTTCCATATTAAAGAATATATTTTAAAAACTATTTGTAATAGTATTAGGAAAAACTAGATATTTGAAGCACTTTTTGTTATATTCATATTAATATTACTTGTTCAATAAATAAGTGACATTACTACAGGATCATATAGCATATTGTTTATTACAAATCAATATCAACTTGTGATCACTTCACTTCAGTTCAACCAGCAACTAGTGTGTTGCCACATATATGTAACATCTACTCTCTTTTGGGAATCATAAGAATCACTGCATTACATAATTATATTTGGATGGTCGATATACATTACGATGACTTCTTGTTTTATATGCATAATCATGATTAATACTATTACTATTATCTCGATAGTCAGGACCAATATGTATTTTTGGATGTTCACTACTTAAATTTTCCTCATTCTCATTGCATAGATCATAATAGTCTAATGTCACTAAATTCTTCTGATTTTTAGTTTTTCTTCAGTGGAATTTATTCCGTCTAATTACCCTATTATCTTTTGTTCTAATCCAATATGATCTAGTACTTAAATGCTTTTTTAAAACTATAGCAGGCTTCCATTTATTTTCCCGTCTCAACATTACTTTTCCCCAGGAATAAATTTAGGTCTTTCCCTTGCATGCTTATCATAATAGATTTTAGCCTGTTTCTGCTTATTCCTCATCTTTTTTCTATATTGATCTTTTACAGTTGGCTTCAGTTCTGTTTGTGTGATTGGTAACTTTGTTCTTAAATTCTTACTTAATAGCATTTATTTGACTTGGTGATAAATTTATACCTGAAATTGGAGTATTTCTATATTTCAGTAAAGCTTCATTTAAATTCTGCAATTCTGCTTTTCGAAATAAATGCTTAGCTATATACCTACCAACTTTTTTTGCAAATCCATTTGATTTAGGATATCGAGGACTGCTAATGATTAATTCAAATCCCCAATCCCTTGTGAAACTCTTCATTTTCCAACTACTAAATGGTACATTATCTCAAATTAAAGTTTTGGGTATTCAATGTGTTGCAAATATTGATTTCAATTTACTGGTAACTTCCACTACACTTTTATGTTTTAGAGGAATTATTCTAACCATTTAGTTAAGTAACAGCCTATTACTAGATAACTTTTCCTTGCATACTCACAGATATCAGTATCAACCTTTTTATAAGGTAAACTGGGAATTTTATGACAAACAAGAGGTTCTTTTACTGTTTGAGGCCTGGACCTATCACAAATTAGGCATTTAGAAATCAAATTCTCAATGTCACTGTTGATTCCTGGCTAAAATAGTACTTGCTGAGCCCTAGCTTTTGATTTTTTAACCCCACAGTGAGCTTCATGCAGTAATGTTAACATACACTTCCTTGATGCAACAGGTACTACAATTTGATTATTAAAAAAACTAAATCTTGTTCAACACTTAACTCATTTTAAAATTTAAAATAAGATCGTGCTTCTTTAGGAACTTTATCAACACTCAAAGGCCATTCCTTTTGCCAGTATTCTTTCACTAACATTTACCCTTCATCTTCTAATCTAGCTTTCTGAAATTCCCTTTTCTTACTCTCAGACATCTGAAGTTGTTTTGTTAGTGTGTGAACAGTCTGTGTAATATCCATGTTTTCATGTGTGTGTGTTTCAATAAAGGAACGTAACAGTAAATCTGCAATATACATATATTTCCTAGGCAAATATTTAAGTTTTAAGTTATATTTTAAGAGCTTAATATTTATCCTTTGCAATCTATTTGGCAACACATAAGCAATATTTTTGTTCATAATTGAAACTAATGGTTTATGATCAGTAAGCACTTCTACCTCTCTAACATAAATGTAATAGTGAAATTTATTAACAGCAAATAAAATACAAAGAAATTCTTTCTCAATCTGAGCATAGTTTTTTTCTGCATTATTCAAACTCCTAGACAAAAAAGAAATTGGTTGCCCATTCTGCAATAAGCAGCAACCTAACCCATCTTTAGAACTATCTGCCTGTATAGTGATAGGTTTACTGCTATCAAATATTCCTAAATACAGGAGCATTGGAAATTATTATTTTTTTTTTTAAATTCCCTGAATGCTTTGGAATGTAGCTGTAACCACTGCCATTCTACTTTGTTTTTCAAAAGTTCCCTTAATATGGCTGTTTTCTCTGAAAAATGAGATACAAATTTCCTCAAATAATTACATATTCCCAAAACAGGCTGTAATTCATTCTTATTCTGAGGTTCATGTAACTCAGTAATGGCTTTAATTTGATCAGGATCAGGTCGTATGCCTGATACTTTAAATAAATGACCTAAATATTTAACCTCACTTACCCTGTATTGAAGTTTTTGCTTGTTAAATTTAATATTGAGTTTTTTTAGCTCTGTTGATGACCTCTGTTAAAATTTTATCATGTTCTTGTATGGAGCTAGTAGCAATGAGGTTGTCATCAAAATAGATCAATACTCCTGGTATATTACCAAAATTTTCAAGATTGCTTTTCTGAAAAATTTCAGGTGCACAGGAAATACCCATTGGAAGCCTTAAGAATTTATATCATCCAAATGGTGTGCTAAAAGTACAAAGATCATACTATTCACATCTAGCGTTATTTGGAAAAAAAAAAAAAAAAAAAAAAACATCCTTTAAGTCCAAAACAGAGTAAACTGATTTATTACAGAGCTTTGGTAAAATCTTCTCAATTATTGGAATCAGCACATGTTCTCTTTTTATAGCTTTGTTAAGATCTTTAGGATCAAGGCATATTCTTAAGAATCCATTAGCTTTTTCAGTTATTGCTAGATAGCTAACCCAGTTCAAAGGTTGATCAACTTTTGCAATAATGCCCTGTCTCTCT